TGATCATAACTCACTATAACCTTGAACTCCTGGGCTCAGGCTATCCTCCCACATCAGCTTCCCAAGTAAGCTTGAACTACAAGCGCAGCCTACCACATCTGGCTCTCTTTTTTTTATTGTTTTATAGGGATGAGGTCTTACTGTGTTGCCCAGGCTGGTCTCAAGACTTCTGGGCTCAAGCGATTGATCCACCTTGGCCTCCAAAGTGCTGGAATTAGACATGTGAGACACTGCACCCAGCCTAGGCTTTCATTTAATTTAAAATTTTGTTGGGGGAAGTGGATTTTGGCAAGGAGAGCCTACAGAAAACTAAAGTGAAATTAGTGCTCCTATGTTTCGAAATTTGGAAAATACCAAGAGAAAGGGGTTAAAGTTTAAAGACTTGAAATTGTTCTAGTGATTTTACTGCTGGACCTCAGTGTTAAGGTGGTTAATTCTCTTTGTCATCTAGGGTTAGTTGCCTTTGAATTGTCATAGGGATACACATCTTAGCATTTTGACACTGCTTCTCAACATAGTGCTTCATTTACCTCATTGAGTAGTCCTGATAATTTGGACAATGCTTTTTAATAGAAGAACAGTTTATAGTTTTGAGAGTTTTGTGAAAGCATTCTTTGTTGTGTATGTACTGAATAAGAAGCCAAAGCAGAATACCACGGGAGTCAATAAAATGAGATATAGTGGCAATTGGCATGAAAAAGCTCTTTCTCCCTTTTCTCTCCTCCCTCCATTTTTTTTTTAAATTTCAGCATATTATGGGGGTACAGATGTTTAGGTTGCGTATGTTGCCCTTGCACCCCCCAAAAGTCCAAGTTTCAAGCGTGTCCATCCCCCAGATGGTACGCTTTGCACTCTTTCTGTATGCATATACCCGTCCCCTCCTACCCACTCCCCCCCTGCCCTACATCCAATAAATGTTATTCTTAGATGTGCACTTATGTGTTGATCAATTAATACCAATTTGATGGTGATCCTCCCTCCATTTTTATTAAGCTATCAATTTGTAGTAAGTTATTCTGGAAAATATCATTCACACTGATGTAAAATTTTCACATTTTTCTATAGTAGTGGTGGCGGTGGTGGTGGTGGAGGTGGCGGCGGAGGTGGAGGTGGCGGCAGACGTCGAGATTCTTACTATGATAGAGGATATGATCGTGGGTATGACAGATATGAAGACTATGATTACCGGTACAGGTAATGTTTTAACTTCAATTTTCTGTTCTAAATTAGATGATAGTGTTATTCGACATTGTTGTGTTTGATATGTATGAATAAAAACTCGATGGTTACAATAGATTGTATATGATGCTTTGATAACAGAAGTTAACTATCTGTTTTTGCCAATATTTTGTTGTGCCACGTGCTTATTGTTCTAGTCTCTTTGGCACACAGAGAACTTAATAGCTTTCATATTGGGTACATTATTTTAAGTGATGAGGAATTCTTATTTTCATCTACCTCGGTGAAGTGATTATGTAGTATGCTAAGTAATTTTTTGTTTCTTACAGAAGAAGATCACCTTCTCCTTATTATAGTCGTTACAGATCACGATCAAGATCTCGTTCCTACAGTCCAAGTATGTGAACTTTGCTTTTGTAGTGTTAAAAACCTCGTTTCTAATTAATGGCTAATTTTAGAATGTTAGCATATTTGGTGACAGTTAGTAGATGGAAAAATATTGGGCAAGTCAAACTATAATTGTCATCTTAACTTTTTTTTGCTCTTTCTCTTTCAGGACGCTATTGATAATGGAATGGTTGCAGTTGGGAACATTTTTTTCTCTTTATTTTCTTTTTTCTTTCTCTTTTTTTCTGTAATTCTGGATTTCCCCACGCTTCTGATCCTTCCTACTCCTTAAAAAAAAAAAACCTTTAAAAAACTCTGTGGTTTATTCAGCATCTACACTTTTGTCAATTGTGTTGTTTTCCACCCTTTTATTGTACTCTTAAAGATGTAATTGTTGTCATTTGAGTAGTTAAACATCTTGAGTAAAAAAGGAACCCCAGTGTTACGCTTTGTAAATGATTTTTCTTTGCTTTCACAGAAGATAAACTCATAGCTAATCACATGAGGAAAGAAATGATCTTTTAAAAGCTTCTTTTGTGTTAGATACTGTATTAGAGATCTGCATTTGTGACGAGCTCCCTTTTTTTTTAACTTTCTTTCGGGGAAAATATTAATAGTAACACTTGAAGTAGTTCAGTCATGTCAGGTTTGCCATGGAGCAGTCAAATAGTTGAGTTTAGAAAGTTTGAAGCTGTAGAAGAAAACACTTGCCTATTTGGAAGTACAGAATTTTTGAACCTTAAAAATTAAGTCATTTTTAGAGATGAAAAGCTCGTGGACTCCTACAAAACATGTATTTGAAATACATCTGTCAAACCTTAAAAACTTAAAGTGTGATTTTTGTGTTAAACTTACTGAAGTTTAAGTATTCCCTTGATCAGTGAAGGACAACCCTTATTTATTACCTAGAGCAATTGTATAATTTGCTGTTAGAAATTTTGGTACCGGGACAATGATTAAGCAGGTTATTATTGTATAGTAGAGAGTCCTTAGAAGATACATGTGGGGAAATGTCATCTTTCAAATAAAAATTAATTTCTTTGAAAATGGGCTTGTCTCGTTATTGTAGAACAATGGAGAAATACAACTGGATTGATTTACAAACCGTTCTTCCTCTTCCCTATATTTCCCCCAATACATATTTATATAAAAGGTTGCTCGTCCTGAGTTTTCATTTCCTAATATTTATCTTTCTTTCAAATATTTTTTTCTTCTACCTGAATGTTTAATCCTTATCTCTTCTTTGGTCTTTTTGTTTTTTTTTTTTTTTTTTTTTTGGTGGGCCAAGTTGTAACTAATGAGAATATTGAGTACCAGCGCCATACTGAAGGAAAGATAAATAGGTTGTTGACAACTTCAAGAAGCCAATATTCTGGTAGGAGACACACTTAAAAGACTGCAGTATAACACAGGAGGAGGGTATTTAGGGTGTGACCTTTAAAAGATACTAGGAGCAGTAGGAATAAAATTAGATTATTATGATATTAATATCTGATCATTTGGATCAGAGAGTTTTGTTAATCTTTAGGATTAAAGTGCCTCAGGTTACCGTTACCAAAAACTAACTTTTCAAAAGGCCTGTCCTTTTTAAAGTTTTTTTTGCCAATAAAGGATATCCAAAGAATAAAGTTGGCAATCTTTTCTTGGCCCCTAGAGGGTTTTTATTGTTAAAACCATGTTATTAAAAAGACTGGGGGCTGGGCGCGGTGGCTCATGCCTGTAATCCTAGCACTCTGGGAGGCTGAGGCGGGTGGATCGTTTGAGCTCAGAAGTTCGAGACCAGCCTGAGCAAGAGCGAGACCCCGTCTCTACTAAAAATAGAAAGAAATTAGCTGAACAACTAAAAATACATAGAAAAAATTAGCCAGGCATGGTGGTACATGCCTGTAGTCCCAGCTACT